CGGTACCTACGGGCAGGCTGGGCTGCGGGGCCACCCCGGCCGCCAGCCGGGCTCTGCTCTTGGCCAGAGTGTGCAGGACTGGACCGTGCAGCGCAGAGAGGAGAGAGAGGTTAGAGAGGGCACCGTGACTCCCGGAGCACCCAGAAATAATCACTCGCGGTTAATTAACATTAATGAGCTGCCCAGCCCCCCTGAGCTGGGAAAACCTGGACACGGAGCAGGAGGAGGGACAGGGGGAGCGGAGTCACCTTCTCGGGTGACACTGGAGGCCGCGTCCAGGGCCCTGGTGCCGATGCCACCCATCACGTTGTCCACGGCCTCGTGGTGCTTGAGGAAGAAGGGTCGGATGATGCTGTGGTAGATGAGCTGGGAGCCGTTCCAGGGCACCGGGGCCATGCACCACACCAGGAACAGGCACTGCGGGCACAGGGGGGGCTCAGTGCTCCAGGGACCCCCAGCTCACTGGAGATCCCAGATCCGGGCTGGGTGCAGCCCTTCTGATGCTTTCAGTTTTGGCTTTCATATTTTCCACATTCTGTACTAGTTTATAACTCTGAACTTCACATAAAGTGTTAGCAAGTTCTCACAGCTCAGTCACACAAAATCCTTTTGCAGCCCCAGAACCAAGGACAGCACTGTGGCTTCAGGCCCAAAAGGTGTAAAACAACAAGGAACTGAGGGGAGCAATCTGGGAGGGTGGGACTGCACAACCTGGAGCTGGAATTGAACAATTAACCCAAATATGGAAACAGACCAAAACTTATAAAAATGTGAAAACTCATGACACACCATCCAGCTTGGGTGTAGCCTTGGCTGGGTTCTTGCACTNGTGGAGAAAATCCAAGCTTGATGATGCCCCAGTGAGGGTCGTGTGACGCTCCCAGCCCCACGGGAACTGGGCAGGGCTGTGTTTGGGACACATGTGGGACAGCTGGGGACCAGAGAGTCACCCCAACCTGCTGCTGGCCCCGGCTGGGGGCTTGCTGTGCTGAAGCATCACCATTCCCAGCAGAAAGGACTGGACTGAACTGGGTCTGGCAGCCCGAGCTGGGGTGGGTCTCATGGAGCATCCCCTCGCACTGATGGATGCCCAGGGACAAACTGAGGTGGGGCTGTGTCCCCGTGTGCCCCCATCCTGCTCATCCAGAGCCTGATCCCACACGCCCAGGAGCTGACACAGCACATCCAGCACCAGGAAAACCCCACACGCTGCAGCTTGTCTGGCATCAACTCATGGCAGCTCGTTTATTAGCAGGGGAAGAGGCTTTGGAGGGGGAGATGGGGACCAGGACCCCCGTTTGGGGACCAGGACCCTGCGCTGGAGGTTCCTCACGGCTGATCTGTGCTGGTCCGAGGTGGTGGCAGAGGGAAATGGTGCAGGAGGAGCCGGGCAAAGCTCGTGAGGGTGGCCGGGGTCCCGATGGGCTCATCCCACGGGCTGCTCACAGGGTGCTGTCACCAGGCTGGGGGGCTGCTCTGGGAGGGGACAACGTGCCGAGCTGGCACCAGGATGCCCAACCCTCAGGAAAGGCTGCTCTGGGAGGGGACAACGTGCCGAGCTGGCACCAGGATGCCCAACCCTCAGGAAAGGGTCTGGGGTCCCTCAGCTTCACCCAGAGCCCCCCAGCCTCCCACGCCAGGGCAGGAGGGCCTCGGCTCTCAGCCAGGATCCCGGGGTGTCCCTGTGGATGTGGACACGAATCCATCCAGGACTGGATTACGCCCACGAGCACGAAACCCTGGGGACACCCCCACTCCTGCTGCCAGCCGGGCCCAGGTGCCAGCACTGGGGTGTGTGGGAAGTGCCTCAGCCCCTGGGAATGGGCTGGGCTGCAGAGGGACCCCCAATCCAGGTGGTCCCAGACCCTCGGATACCTCCAGTCCTACACCATCACTCCCTGCTTTGGGTGGACCTTTGTGCCCCCCATCCCAGTGCCACGGGGGGCTGTAGGGACAGACATAGGGCTATGGGGACATTGCAGGGGACACACCTGGGTGGCTCTGGGGACACAGGGAGACACCAGAACTGTGGGGATATGCAGGGGATCCCCAGGGATGTGCACTGGGGTGATGGGGACGGGCACACCAATGCCCACTGGAGCCCCCCTGCCCTGGCAGTGGCCGGGACTGAAGAAAAGGAGGGAAATCCCAGGAGCAGCACTCCCGGGTGCTGTAATGGAGCACAAGGGTGGCAGGAGGGCCAGATCACCCCCTGGCTACAAACCACCGCCCTCCTCCTCCTCCTCCACCGACAATCCCGCCGGGCTCCGCTCGCCATCACTGTATCTATGTACTAAGGATGTTATTTTACCAGACTCTGGACAGTATTCCCAATTAAAAGCCAACCTGTGTAAATAGGAAGGGCTGTTTGGTCTATCCCGTGTGTTCGGGCCGGCCGGATCCGCAGCCTCTCCGCAGAATTTTCTGGATCCATTTCTTGTGCTTCACAGTCGAGGTGGCCACGGGTGGTTTGAAAGGGTCAGTGGCGTTCTTGCCGCTGAAGGAGATCACGCCGGCCACTGCCGGCCGCTTCCCGCACACCAAGGGTCCCCCCGAGTCACCCTGAGGGGAGGTGACACCGAGGATTGGATCAGGGGACAGAAACCCCCACCATGGCCAGGAGAACATCCCCCCTGCTCAGGGTGGGCATCCTCCCCGCAGCCAGGCTCGGGTTTTTGGGTTTTTTAGCACCCTTGGACCCCCAAATTCTCACCTTGGCGGGCGCGGAGCCGCGGCGCAGCCCCTGGAAGCAGATCATGGCGGGGCCGATTTTGCCGTGCCAGAAGCGGCTGTTGTTGCACATCCGCGTGTCCATCACCGTCACATCGAGCTCCTGCAGGGTGGGTGACAGCCTCCC